GGGAAAAGGGCTGCGTTTGTGTTCCCCGGAGGACCCTAACCTTCCTCTTTCATTGCTTCCCGTGCATTCCTGCCCAGAGCTCAAAACTCAGGTATCTTGTGCAGCCCAGAAATCGGAGCTTTTGTGCTCAGTGGCTGCTTTTTCCCAGGGAGTCTGCTTCCGCGTGGACTGTTTCTGGATAAAAGGATGTCCTGTTCTGAGCTTTCCCTCCCTGAAAGACTAAAGTCTGTTGCTTCTCATGATAGTCTGTGAAGTTCTCTATCAGTAAGAAGTGTGCTCTAAACTCACCAAACGTCCGAACATTTTGGGGTTGGGAAAAATGCAAAAAATGTTGATAAATTAGTCTTAATGGGTTTGTTTAAAATTTGAAGCATATACACATGTATGTGTGTAACGTGTGTGTGTTTGGTGAGTGCATGTATCTCCACACAAACACGTGTGTAAGTGAATGAATAACCACGAGTGAGGGTTTGCAGCTGTATGGAGTGATTAGCAACTTCATCAAGGCTCAGTTTATCCTGCCCTTAGGGTCATTCATAGCTGTGGGGTATACCAGGGACTCTACTGTGATATCTAAGACTGGCATTCAGGCGTATTTCTGAAGAATTCATCATTTTTTATTTCTTACGATCCTCAACCTAATTTAGGCAAAAAATTAAAACATAGAATTGGGGGGAAAGATTTGCAAAGTGTGAGGCGGTACATTTAAACTTTCTGACGGAGCGCTCTCTCAGTTGCTAAGAGAAATTTGGGAAATGTTATCCCTCAAAGAAAAAACAATTTACCTGCAAAACTTTTGAGTATACTTTCTTGAATTAATCAGGTGGCAGTTGGAACAGGATCTCTGCTTTTTATCTGATACAGGACTGTGTGGGGTCTCTGGCCACTGCTCTGCAGACCGCTAAGGTGGCGAAGGCATTGAATGGGGAGTTGATCTCGATTTGCTCTGCCTGCAGCACACCTTCTGTGAGCCTGTTTTAAACAGATGCCAATCCCATCTTGTTTGCTGGTTGTAACTTTCTCTGAGAAGCAAAGTTTTGAAGAGCCTGTTAGGATAGTAACTACTTAACAGGTCTTATTACATATAGAATAAGTGGTATGAATCATACCAGAGAAGTAGTGGGTGGTCATCTAATTCATGGGATTCCTCTGTGGTGTTTCCTGCTATAAGCAATGAATGGTGCGTTTACATCAATCCTAGTAGTCACCTTGATGTATGAGTTTGAAAATATGCTGTCTTTGAATGACATTCATTAGGGCATGCTCTTAAAGGTGCTTTTTCTCTGATGATGATGAATTCATGCTGATTCAAGCACTCCTCCAGAGTCCTTTTTTTTTGAGATGGAGTTTTGCTCTTGTTACCCAGGCTGGAGTGCAATGGCGTGATCTCAGCTCACCGCAACCTCTGCCTCCTGGGTTCAGGCAATTCTCCTGCCTTAGCCTCCTTAGTAGCTGGGATTATAGGCACGCGTCACCATGCCCAGCTAATTTTTTGTATTTTTAGTAGAGACGGGGTTTCACCATGTTGACCAGGATGGTCTCGATCTCTTGACCTCGTGATCCACCCACCTCGGCCTCCCAACAGAGTCCTTTTTGTGTGTGTGCCCAAGAACTTCCATTCGCAAGACAAATAGCTGGTTCAGGGACAGTGTGCACAGCAGTGAGAGAAGTAAACTGGGACATGTGAGCGTAGTTGCCAAACCTCAGCTGAATCACAGTTACTGGGTTTTTGTTGGATTTCGTCTTGTTTTGTTTTGCTTTTTGGTTGGTATAGGGAAAAAAATGTAAAAGTTCATAAGAAAAGTATAAAATCCCGCTTAGTTTCACATCTAATTAATTACCCTTTTTAAAAAGAATACAAGAAATTGAGATGGTCCAGAAATTTTCAGATCCATCTCTTTGAATTCTGACTCCTTTCTGAACCCCTAATCCATATTTCAGCCCCACTTGGTCTTCAGGCGTCTCAAACTCAGCGTGTCCGAAAGCAGATTCCTCATCTTCTTTCTCAGCCCTCACCTGTGCTTGTTCATGTAGTTTGGAAAGTACTTCCCAGCTCCAGTCACTGTGATCTCCCACCCCTCTTCCTCTTCCCATGTAGCAAGTCAGCTGCCTCCTCCTTTAAGTCCCCCTGTCAAATGACTGCCTGTGCCACACTCCGCACCAGAGCCTCTGCCTTAATTCATTCCTTTGCAATTCCTCCCAAGCCGATTCTATAGTATAAAGTTCTAATCAGAGCTAGCATACACGGTCCTTCTTAACTCCTACCTAGCACTAGCCCCAGCCCCACAGCTGCTTTCACTCATCCTCCCACAACTCGATACCAACCTTTCAACGGGCCGTCTTCTCTGCCAAGCAGGCATTGCTTCACTATTGAAGACTTGGCAGAAATGTTGCTTTCTTTGAGGAATGTTTTCTAATTCCACTCATCTGCTTAGTTACTCTCTTCTCTGTGTCCTCAGAGCTGTCATCTCTGCCTCTTACACAGGATCATTATCTGCTTGTCTTTCTTTCTCTTTTGAAACTATGATTGCATCAAGGACTGGGCCTTGATCATGTATTTCTAGCATTTAATCAAGTTCCTGGTACCTAGTAGGAATCCAGATGTTTGTTGAATGATGAATGAACTGAACTTATGCCCTGGGATATGGTAATAATGTATTCTAAGTAACTGAGGCACTTAACCACAAACAGGAAATATCTAACAGCACATGGCTTGAGTTAGATATTAGGGGATCTCCTTTTACCCCTAAACTGCACTGTTGGAGATGTTATTCCTTAAAGGAAAAAACAAATTCCTCTGAACCCTACAGAGTTAAGGCTCTGTCATGATCCTAGATAGCATTAAGAAACAAAAATTAAGCTTGGGAGATTTGTTTGAGGTGGACCATTGGGTCCTTCTCCTTAGTGCTTTCTATTCTCTACTCCTCCAGGTACGTTACTAGTCTCTCCTACCTTCCTTCTCTCTGACCCCTTACACATTTTTATGAACAGATATACTTTTCTTTAGTTGTTTTATTATTATCATTAACAGCCTTCTCTGATTGATGTCAGAATTTTCACTATTACCACCAGTCTCAACCCTTACTGTCCTTTCCCCTTAGGACTGGTGACAGGACATCATAGTTCTTCCCCTTCTAAATGATGCCAAAGAGCTCTGTTGTTATAAGCAATGAAGCCCATTACTCTTTTAATAACCACTCCTGCCAGCCTAGATTTGGGGCTGACTGTTCTGTGTTGCCCCTACAGAAGGCAGCTGAAATTCCCAATGATCCCAGCCTGTGTACAGACAAAACAGAAAAGTTCCGGTGATCTGCCAGAACAGACTCTCTCCTCTGCTGGCCATGCCGCAGGGCAGCCAAGCAGAGCACGAAGGGTCAGTGGTGAGCTGAAGGCCAGCACTGAGAGCAGCCCCAGGTGTTTAGTCTGGTATTTAGTTCTTCCAGGTGAGGTCGGGGAGGGAAGCCACATGTGCCCAAGGAGAGTATGAGCCAAAGTGAAGGCAAATCCTCCTCTTAAAATTGAGTGAAATAAATTCATCATGTGACATGATGCCAGGTTTTGCTAAATAAGGAGATTTGGGGTTGAGGTTCTCCTGAGTGGAAAATAGTAAAAATATTAACAGTAAAAAGATAAAAGCCCACTGTGAAAATGGCTATAGATTGAGAAGTAGTTACTCATTGGCACAGAAAATATTCACGATATTGTAAGTGAATGGATTTGCTTTTTTCCTTCTGCTCCATTGTACACTTATTTTGTGTGCTCTTTTTAAAAATTATGGCACCAAGTGTTCTTCTGTGGGGATTGATCTATTGCTCTTTGACATTCTTTGGACACCAGAAGATTTGGAAGAGCTTTGATGTCCTTTTTTATAATAGAGCATTGGGAATCACTTATGAAAGATTTATGTTGATAAGGTGTTAGACTCTTTGAGAACCTAATTTTAACTATGCCTTCCTAACTTAAAAATTGAGAAGTTTAGTTTTAATCATATGATTAATTCAGTGCTTTAATTTCCTTCATCTCATGCTTCCTGGATCAATAACTGTTTAAGCAAGATTAAGTCTGCAGGTAGTTGGCCCCACCCCCAACACCCACTACTAAGTGCCCATGCCTTTGTCTAGGTAGTTTTGTTCACAACCTCTCAACATTTACCAGCCCAGTAGCACCAGGGCCGGAAGCAGCAGAAATGCTACATTAAGTCAAGATGGTAATGTTAGGACTTCAAGTGGTGTGGGAGCCAGAGCCTCATGAAAGTGACAATGGAATGTGATCATGAGGAGCTATGGAGGGCACCCTACGGTGGTTGAAATGAGACCTGCATGCCAGTGCCGCTGGTTGGGTGAGCTTTGGTCTGTCTTGTAGAGGCTGTGGTTCCTGTTCCCTGCCAGAGGGCTGGAGGGCTGGCAGCAGTCAGGGCAACAGGGGGAGAAACAGGAGCCAAGGAGGAAGAATGACCCCCTGAGACTGAGGGGAGATATGGCATGGCTATTTATTGTCCCGACTTGGAACTTGGACACGATAATGTCTTGAGAGGACTGCGGTTGAGTTCTTGACCTACAGACCAAAAGGAAAAACGATGTATGATTGGCCCTTCCTTGTTCAGCCACTTCTCCCTGGCTTCACTTCTCCATACCCAGCCCTGGCATTACTTGGTATACCTGGATGCCAACACCAGTGTCTATATATCTATAGATCTAGGTATATAGATAGACCAAATCACATATTGAAACGACAGCTAAAGAATGCTTGGAAGTAGATGCCCATGCCCTTTCCCAGTCACTCTTAGAATCTGTTTTAACCTAAAGTTATGGAGGCAGACTTGAAGGGAGACATCCCCAACCTTGCTAAAATGTAAGTACGAAAGGCACAGATTGGATGGATATTGATGATGTTGCTTCTGTCGTGACATCATCCATAGACTCCTAGTGTCTTTGCTTTGCTTCCCTAGAGTGATCACAACATAAATTACTTGTCTTGTTTGACTTCCTTGTTCACCAAAGTTGAGCAGATTGTGGCCGTTTTCAACGCTTCTACCAGACAAAAAGCTTGGGACCATTTCTCGAAAGCCCAGCGCAAGAACATAGACATTTGGCGAAAGCATTCTGAGGTTGGTGATTTTATTATTACTTTTTAACCACCATCACACAGCTGGATTGGCAGAGAATAGCGTGGCTGCAGCCATGCTGGTTTCTGCTACAGTCGGCAGTCTGCCTGCCATTGTCTGGTCTCAGCGTCAGCTCCAAAAGCAGCTGAGACTTGTTGCTTGTCCAGAAAAGCAGCTGACTTAACACTTACGAGAACAGAGTGTTTTTCTCCCCTGCTATGGGAGAAAATAATTTTTCTCATTCATAGTAAAGATCTCAGAAGTAAACCAAGACACTCTGCCTAGCAAATTATTTTGAAGAAAAATGTAACTCACAATAGAAAACTGGCTTTTAAATACAGAGGGGTTTTGTTTAGTGTTCTACGAGGTGCTGACAGTTTGCTCTTTGGACAAGTACAACTTTCTGTCCATATTTTCTCATCATAAGCAACATCTTAGTCCCCTATGCTAGTAAGTCCTATTGCACTTCCCCCAGAGCCTATGTTGTACGGGGAGTCCATATCTAGGCCAGCTGGGTCCACCCATCGGCATTCATGCATGTGTGAAGTGTGAGTATCTACTCCCAAGAGAACAGTCTAGAACTTGACCTCCTAGTCACCTAGAAGGACCAAAATGTGTCATTAGTCATTGGTCATCCAGCTGTTATTTTTAACTCCACAGAGTAGTGTACCCTTTGAACCTGTACTTTAAAAGTAAGTATACTGTCTTTGCTTCTTTTTTTTTTTTTTAATGAAAGAATGTTTTTCATTTGGATGCCTCTCCATCTCTAGCATGTTAATATTAAAGTTCTCTAAATGATATTCCCCTCTTTCAAAATTCCAAACTTATGGAAGGTAAGGTTTATTTATTTAATGATTTTGGCTCACACTTGTAAAATAAGTATTTTATACAGAGTTTAAGGAACCACAGAGTCCTATGATATCAATCATTTGGGTAGCATTTTAAGTGCCCATTAACTAATGCTAAATTACAGTTGAATACCAATAGCACTGGATGTAACCTCCACGTGAATACCAAATGAATTCTTTATTATCACTGTTATTATGGTGAACACGAAATGACTTCACAATAATGTGACACTTAAAACGCGAGTGCAATTGATTGTTAAGAAGGACATTTTTTATTTTGTTCACTAACGCCTAAGGTGGTGTGTGACTGATACAGCTCTGTTTTTCTGTTCAGGATTATGAGTAAGGAAGAGGTGGGATTTCTGTCTAATTTTTCAGGGGCCAGAAAAATGAAGGATGCTTTCCTGATGTTCTCCCTGACTCTGACCTAAGACCCAGGTCCAGGTTGATTTTCAGGATTACGAGAGTCCTCTGTTTGTGACGCGGTATACAAACTGAGGGTTATAAAATATAAATTGGAGTCCGTACATGATGATTCGGATCTGGGAATGAGCAGTCTGTGAACTGTTTATTTCTTCACATAAAAACCAAACATGATTAAAAGGAGTGTTGAGAGACAGGCTGGTGGCGAGCATCAAAAGGCCATCATTAGAATGTGTCAGGAAATGTCACTTACTGATCTGAATCACGCTTCCCCCCACATCTGTCTCGACTTCTCACCTTTGCTTAACCCTGCCTCCTCCCGCGGGTGCGGTGGGGAGCAGGACCTGTGAAGGCTTCCATGCGGGTCTGAGGAAGCCTGCTTGCTTTGCTTGGTACTAGGAGGCAGAAGTGGTGCTCCAGAGGCACAGATGGAGTGCAACTGTCAAAGGCGCTCCTGCGAAGGGTCTTTGTGCCTTCCTGCTACTCTCCCTACCGCTTTTGATATATGTTAGGACACAGAATTCTGAATCAGCTGTGATTTTCTCTCCCGCATGTCACTTAATTGATTAAATACCAGTTGGTAATTTAACATTGTGGATGATTTCTCAGTTGCGTATAAGCTTGATAATTGGCTTGATTTTTTCCCCACATTCCAATGTACAGCATCTGTTAATTATCTGCAACACCTCTACAGATTTATTAGAGTGTACTAGTGATTTAATGCTGAACCGGAGGCACCCTGTGGAAACACCCTCAGCTTTTTTTTTTCCCCTCAATTTTTTTTTCATTTCTACCAACCTGTCCCACAAGAACAACTACCATATGACAGTGTGTCATTAATCGCAGGGACTAAACAACAGGCCCCTTCAGCCTCATTTATTCTTTCCACCTGACTTTTCCTTGTTTCAAGTGTTTTCAGGCCACCGCTTTGGGAATTGGGCTCTTTGTCAGTAGAAAAATTAGCTGTCCACAGCCTAAAAATTTCCCCACTAATCACATGTGACACCCGCCTCCAATGCCTGATGGTGTTATTTAAGAAGGAATTGGCACCTCTTTCTTCTGGGTGGCATAATCCAATAAGGAGGCCTTGTCTGCAGTCCCTCTGGCCTCTTAGGTCTGTCCTGTGATTGGTGCCCCTGTGCCCCACCCCAGACCTTGTCTCTCTGCTTTCTCCCTTCCCCGTCCTCTGCAAGGGTGATTCCCAGGGTACATAGTTGATCATTCAAATGCTGTTAGCATAAATAATTTCTTCTCCATCATGCTGTAGTTTAAATCTGTGAGCTAAGGAGAGTGAAGAATTGGGAGGACCCATAATATGAAGTGATATATGCATGTCCGTCAAATGGGCACTGGAGCCATGCTTAAAGTCCTACCACTAATAAATTAGGTGTAGTCATTTACTGTTATTGTTACTCATGTTTGTTGATCATAAAATGAAATTATTTTAACTTTGACTTTTATTTAGAAACTTTACGGAGGGAAAAAGAATAAGGGAGCCTTTCCCATTTTAAGTATTTCTGAAGACAGTACATGTAAAAGAACAGAATGAATAAGGAAGGATTCACAAATATGTAATATACAGCTTGATACCAAATAATGTAAATATTTAGCATAAGTGATTACAGTGTCCTGATTTTAGGCACAGTAGTAAGAAATTTACTGTATGATTCTCTACTCTTTACAATGAGTTTTCACCAACGCTGTTGCATTCAAACAGCCTTGCATTGTTATTCCTCATTTGTGACTGAATAGATAAAGTCTCAAATAAATTGAATAACTTGATTGTAGTAACTCCCCTAATAAGCGGAGAAAAGTAAGATGTGACCTTAAGATCTGTGGCTGTAAACGTGATGCTAAAGCAACCATTACAACAAAACAATAACCCTGCGTGCCCACGTGCGGCACAAAAGAAAAGGCATCTGTCTGGGTTTTGTTCCCTAACACCTTACTAATTTTAAATTTTGCTATCTGGATGGTGTATGTGCGCTTGTATGTGTGTGTATGTGATCACACGTGTGCACACACACACATGCAGGGGCACCATGTTTGCATGAGAAATAATCATTTCCAGCATTATCAACTTAGCAAACCAAGTGTCCGGCCGGCATGCTACTAAGTATTGTACACGTGTTAACTCATTTCATCCTCAAAACTATTGTTACCATAATATTCCAGTGAGCAATTTAGGTTAATAGAGATGAAGAATTCTTTCGAACGTCGCACACGGTGGGTCAGTGGTAGAACAGTTCTTTTTAAAATTCCACTGTTCATGTTCTTAACCATAAGTTCTAGGTCCTTGCTGTACGTATGCCAGCCATGTAACAGATATTGTTATGTAGTCTTTGCAGCTCTGCTAGGTGGATGTTATTATCCCCTTTGTACAAATGAGGAAATGGAGACTCAAGAGAGATTAAATAATTTGCTAAAGAGCCCTTAATTAGTCATGGGCGAACAGGGATCAATTTCGGCCTGACCTTGGTCTATCCTCTACCCCACACCCTCCAGAACCTCCTTTAGGTTAGGTGAGGCTATATTTTGGGAGATAAAAGCTTTGGGTTCTAAATGTTAATATGTCAGTTATCTACACCCAAAGACCATTGGGGAAAGTCATGTGTGTCCATGACTCTGACATCTGGGTATCCTCTGCTTGCAGGAGCTCCGGAATGCTCAAAGCGAGCAGCTCATGGGCATCCGCCGCGAAGAAGAAATGGAAATGTCTGATGATGAGAATTGTGACAGCCCTACCAAAAAAATGAGAGTCGACGAGTCAGGTAATGCCGGTAACTGCCACAGACCCATGAGGTCTCATAATGATCTTCCAGATCTCAGGTGGGGAATGAGTGTTGGGAAACGGCCCTATAACTCACTTTTATTGGAATTACACTAAACTTTCATCTTTGAGTGACTCCGCTTTTTATTAATAGAACTTTAAACTCCTTGGGAGCACAGTAATTTAAATTGCTCCAGTTGTTTCTCCATATGTAGATCTGGGGCCGTTATGCTTTTTTTCAGGGATATTTGCCTGTTTCCATAAAAATCCTTTTCCAGAGCACGGCAGCCACAGCTGATGCTAAAATACGGAAAAAATTGGTTTTAGTCAGTGTACTTCTTACATGGGAATTGTTTAATCCCTGAAGAAGCTTTCTAGCTTCTGAGCCAAGATGCTGGAGAATTAGACTTCTTTTCCCATAAATCTTCATTCACCTAAACAGTATTTAAAAAGCTGGCCCCATTTGGTATCAAGCTAGGGGTGTCACTCCTTGGGTTGTAAAAAGAAGAGAAGCTTAGAGAGCATCTTGGTGTGCTTTGTCTAATGGGAGATGCTAATTTAAAACGCTCTCATTGAATTATATATCAATCCATTGGTATTATAAAAGCAGGCAAGGGAAAAGCTCATTCAAACATGAGACATCAAGGAAGACTGCTTGTCTGAGTGGAAAGGTATTGTCTAAAGGACCTAGGAAGAACTGTAATTGCCATGATTGCCAAAAAAGAAAATGACAGAGCTGGTATAGATTTGATCTGTCTCCTCATGTGTACAAGTGAATAAAACACACATCTGTTACAGACTCTTCAACAGAAACATTGCAGGTGACCAGGAATCAAGAGTCTCTGTTAATTTTTTAAGAAGCCAAAATCAAGATTCCAAAAGGATCAGGTCACCAAGACGGCAAAGTGTCGGGATGTTCTGTTTCTCGGGGGCTGTAGAAGAGAATGTCAGGGGTGCGAGTGGTGACCGTAAGAAAAAGCTCCTGCATGCAGGCATAGGTAGAAAGGGCTTTGATTTCCTTACAGTAGTGATTCTCAGTCCAGTAGCATCAGCATCATCCAGGACTTACTAGAAATGGAAATTAGCGGGCCCCACCCAAGACCTACTGAATCAGAAGCTTCTAGTGGGTACAGGGGTGTGGGCAAGTGAAATCCAGCAATCTGTGAATTAAGCCCTATGGGAAATTCTGATGCAGGCCAAAGTTTGAATACCACGGCCTAAGAAACTTTCCCTTTCACCCTCAAATTCCATTCATTTTCATCTTCCGGAAGCCTAGTGTACAAGCCAGCACTGTGCCAGTATTTTCTGAAGCCGTATGTCCTTTGTCTTAAAAATGAACCTAGCTCTTCTGTGTCAATGACGTATGTCTCCTACTAGAGCCCACATCAGATTCCTCAGGACTGCTTTACTCTCAGGTTTATTTGAGGAGACCACCTTCCTCACAAGATTTCTATTCTCTAAACCTTCACATAGCAAAAGAAGGGAATGAAGGATTTGTGCATTCAATGAGGTCTTCAAATAAAGAAATAAATGTTTTTGTCAAAAGCGCTTTCATCCTTTGTAAAGCTTCTGGATGAGGGGCAAGTTGACATGGAACTTGGATTCTTAATATCCTGACAAGGTAGGTGTGGGAGAACAGAGCTGCATCAGTCAGAAGTTCTGATTTGAACCTGTGGCTTTTTGTTTGTTTCAGAGGTGTTTCTTTTTAAATAGCTTCTCAGTTTCCCAAGTCAGAATTGTATTTCATAGTCTGCTTAGGATAGGACCCAGAATAGTGATGACTGAACAGTACGCTCACTGACGAGGCCCTGCCACACGTACATGCTGTAGGATCGGGGCTGGCCGGTACCCCGACACCTCTCTTGGTTTATTCCCCAGGCATCTGATGAGAGCATGAAGTAGAGCCTGAACTTTCAAAAACACTTTCACCAGTCTTGTTACTTGGTCAGCAGAATTAATGAGCAAAGAGCAGGGCATGTTGTGGAGCGGGCTCTGAGGGAAGAGATGAGAGAACTGGAGTTCAAATGCCAGGCCCTGAGGAGTTCAGTCTTTTCGTACTTTTCAAAATGAGATGGACCAGAGATCATGGCATGTGGTTTCTGAAGAAAGGACAGGACTGATTAAAGGGAAAGGAAGGCAACCAACCTTTTTTATTCCACGGGGCCCTGAAGGCCTGGCCCAAAGGCACGCAGTTGTCTTCCTTTCAGCCCTGCTTATTTGGGGACACAGGCTGACAGCCAGAATTCCCATCTGGTCTTTTGTTCAAACCTCAGACAAATCCCTGCTAACTGTTGCTCGAAAGGGAAGGATGGAGGCCACAGCCCGAGGGAGACACCTTCCAGCGGCATCTTCTCAGGTGACACATCACTTGTTTATAGGTACACATTTGCATCTGCCAGTCGCCTACACAGAAGCAGTCCTCTCGAAATGTAGCACTCTAATTCACTAACAGGGGAATTGCCAGTGCTGAAATGGAATTCAGTTCTCCATTGCTTTAAGGAGTTCCTCTCTGCTGCAACAGTGGGATTTTGCCTCAGACCTGGGTAGTAGCTGACCCAGGAATTTTTGGAAATTCCAGAAGAGAACATCCTTCAGTTGTCACCTCTCTGTGCCATCTCTGGTCCCCCAGGACCAGCTTTGCTTGTCATCCCCACACCTCAGACAAAAACTACCCTGTAATGGGTTTTCTTTTGGGCGGCAGGGAGGAGATGGAAAGAATCGACTTGTTTGGTGTTTAGAAAAGGCATAATTGATTGTGTACGGACCTGTATGATAGCTTGGGTTGACTTTTAAAAAAATAATCAAAATGTTTCAATATATCTTTGCTGTTTTGGATACGAAGAATATTTCATTGTACTTTTGCTTTTTACCACATATAATAATTTGCAATATGTCTTTAACTAGAATTCTCCAATAGCTACAATAGGATTCTGGGTGGGCTGTTCACTCTTCTTCATCAGTTGAGTCGTAAGGGGAGAAGGAGTTCACTGGAGCAAAGCTAAGATGCTGACAAAAATGAAAATGGATTTTGTTGATAAATTTGAAAATGATGACAGATTCGTTGAAGCATTTATTCAAGAAGATCAGCACCCTGCTCTAAAGCCTGTGAAGATAATTTTTGATAAAAATTCAAATTTATTTTTGTTTAGTCTGCCTCCTATTGAAAAGAAGCCACACTTTAAAATACAGATTTGTTCTTCCCTTTTCTCTTTCTGTCTCTCCTCCTCCTCCTCCCCTCTCTCTGCCTCTCTCCTTCTCCCTTACCCTTTTCCACTCCCTTCCTCCCTCCAGGTTGACTCTGCTGCGCAGGGTCCTATTCACAAGAAATTTTTAAAAAAAAGGAGAAAGGAAAGAGGAAGTCTGTCCTAGACTGTAAGGCCTCAGATGGCAAAACGCGATGCGCTGTAGTATTGTGAGAGTTAATGAGTCAATGCATGTAAGGCACTTCTGACTTCACTTAGGTTGAGCATCTAGTAAATACTCAGTAGGTGTTAACTCTGCCTGTCATCTTCGTCATCCTCCAACACCCAGCCCTGAGCTTTCCCCAGTAAGTACTCAGTGAAAGTCTGTGGGCTTCGATTCATATTCCCCTTCTTCTGACCTGAATGTTTTTGATGGCTTCATCCCGGAAATTGATAGGAAAATGATAACCCTGAGAGCGTTTGTTCTAAATAAATTGAAATGGCAAGTACAAAGACGCACATTCAAACAAAATGTTCAGAACTTTATACACACAAAATTCAGTTCCACATGGTGAAGAGGCCATGGCCCAGAGAGTTATAGTCTGGCATTGTTTTGATTATCTACGTTTCGTACGTTCAAGGTGCTGTGGACCCTGGGCACAGAGAGTTAGATACAGGGCACCCGGTCCTCCAGGGTGTTTTAAGTGAAAAAAGTGTTTTAAGTTAAAAAAGTGTTATTCTAATGTTAGGTATGTCCTAAAGCCAGTAAATAAAATTTGGTATAAACCACAATGAACATCACTACATAGTGTGTATACTTCACCCACTATTTGATGAGTGTACTTTGAATGCGGATTTTAGAAGAGTGAAATGAAAAAGTCCCTTGCTCACTAGACAATCATTATACCATTCCATAAAACACAAACAAATGTTTTTGAATTTTAACAACATTTCATTTAAACTCGGAGCTCTTTATAGGAGCAGATGCTCTTAATTACGAAGAATGTCTTCTGAGTTGTCAATTTTTCATGAAAATTCACCATAACATAGGTACAAAGGATTTTTTTTTTTTAACCTCACTAAGAAGTCAAACAAGGACTTTCCAAATCTTTCAGCCACTAAATCAAATTAGGAACTCATAATTAGATTCGGTTGGAACTAGCAGTATCAGCCTATCTGAATAGTTATATATGTAGCTGAAAGCTTTACATTAAAATAATACTAATAAGTACTGATAGGGCGCTCTCTGACCATCCCATTGATTTCTTTGAATAGGACAACCTATTTTTTTCTGATTAAGTAGTTTTTGCATGGTAGTGCTTCTGATCCTTAAAAATGCCCATCAGGAGAACAGAACCAGGCACAGTGTTGAGAAGAGGCTCACTGCTACCTTATCACCGGCCTGGGCACAGAAGAAGGAGAGGGTTGCTGAATACCAGACCGGGGTGAGGCAGCTGACTGAAGGGGCCAACTGAAAAGGGCTTTGTCATTCGCAGCTGGTAGAAACTTACTTTTAGGAAGCACTGAATGTAACCTAAAGCAGGCTCACTCTAGATTGTCTCGGAACTTGGCAGAGGGACAAGAGAATTCAGACACTGAAAGTGAGATGGCTCAGTCTGGGGCCACATGTCAGGATCTGAGCCCCAGGCACCAGCAGACCCCAAGGGCAGGGGTGTCTGTGTGGAGTGCAAGCATAGAAGGATAAGCTATTTTCACATGTAATGACAGCCCAGGGCAGTATCTCCTGAAACAGGAATAGAGCAGCGGGCTGTGACCATCAATGACCGCAGAATCAAAGACAAGCATTTTTTCTTCTGGG